ACACACACACACACACACACACACACACACACACACACACACACACACAATGGAATATTACTCAGCCATAAAAAAGAATGAAATAATGCCATTTGCAACAACATGGATGGACCTAGAAATTATCATACTAAATGATAAGTCAGACAGAGAAAGACAAATATCATATGGTATCACTTATATGTGGAATCTAAAAAAACGGTACAAATGAATTTATTTACAAAATAGAAACAGAATAGACATAGAAAACAAACTGGTTACCAAAGGGGAAGGTGTGGGGAAAGATAGGTTAGGAGCCTGTGATTAACAGATACATACTACTTTATATAAAATAGATAACCAACAAGGACCTACTGTATAGTACAGGTAAGTATACTCAATATTTTGTAATAACCTATAAGGGAAAAGAATATATATATATATATATATATAGCTGAATCACTTTTCTGTACACCAGAAACTAACACAACATTATAAATCAACTATACTTCAATTAAAAAAAAAAATCTTCCAGGACTTCCCTGGCGGTCCAGTGGTTAGGACTCTGAGCTTCCATTGCAGGGATATGGATTTGAGCCCTAGTCGGGGAGCTAAGATCCCGCATGCCACGTGACAATCTTCCTTCAACTAACTTGAAAAATAGTTCCCTTTTATGTTTTTTTTTCTTTTTTAACATTTTATTTAATCCATCTGGAGTTTTCTTTTGTATAGAATGTAAGGTTAGAATTAACTTAATGCTTTTTCCCCAAATATTTAGCCAAATGATTCAGCACTATTTACCTAGCAGATCCTCCCTTTCCTACGGACTTAGTGTCACCTTTATTACACTTTCAGTTATTTTTTATACTAAAGTCAATATCTATGCTCATTTCTTTTATTCTATTAATTAATCTGTTAATTTTTGTGCCCAGAGGATGCTATTATAATTGTTGTAATTTTTTTAATTATTATTTTTTCTTAATTTTAATTTTATATTGGCAAATAGTTGATTAACAATGTTGTGTTAGTTTCAGGTGTACAGCAAAGTTATTCAGTTATACATATACATGTATCTATTCTTTTTCAAGTTCTTTTCCCATATAGATTATTACAGAATACTGAGCAGAGTTCTCTGTGCTATACAGTAGGTCCTTGTTGGTTATCTATTTTAAATATAGCAGTGTGTATATGTCAATTCCAAACTCCCAATCTATAATTGTTGTAATTATATCATATGTTTTAATAAGAAGTATGGAAAGTTCACCTTCATTAATCTTCTTTAGGGGAAAAAAATGAAGCCTTTGGCCATTTATTTTTTAAGATGATGAACACTGGCAAGTTGGAAAGAATTAATATTCCATGCAAACCAAATAAAACCCATAAGAATTTTGAATGGAATTACATTAAATATAAAGATTAATTTGTAAAGAACTGGCATTTTTATTATAATCGTTTTTCCTTTTCAGGAGTATGATATGTATTTTATTTATTCAACTGTTCTTTGACATCGCTCAGTAAATTCATGTAAAGACTTTAAAGCATGCAACGATAACCTAGGAATGAGAAAATTAATTCTACCTGAAGAGATCTGGGAAGACATTTTTATGGCCCGAAAGAGGAGAGCTCTACAAATGTAGTCAAATGAGGTACATGGTATTTCATTACTTAACTTGACATAGCCTAACTCAATTATACAATTCCTTAAGAACTTGTTACTCAAAGTCATTAACCACATACACACATCAAGAGTAAATTTTCATTGGATTCTGACCAGATCGGGCACTATGCTTGATGTTGGAAATATGGTCCCTGCCCTCAAAGGGGTTTGCAGTCTAGTTGGGGGGAGTTTCCATGCTAAAAGTACCAGCTCTAAAGAGTAGATCTTAAATGTTCTTACCACACACACACTCACACAAAAGGTAATTATATGAGGTGATAGAAGTGTTAACTAACCTTATTGTCATAATCATTAAATACATAATCATGTGTCTAATCATCACATTGTACACCTTAAATTTACACAATATTATATGTCAATTATATTTCAGTAGAGCTAGGGAAAAAAAGTACCAGCGCCTTTTATTGTTCTAATCCTTGTGTTAATGTAGCGTCTCACTAAGTGGTTTGATCTTTTACTTCTATTCCCAGATCAAGGTAGAGAAATTTCTCCACAAATTTCTTGGTCATCAAGGAAGTAATTATTGGCAGGATCCCAGCTCTGCCCCTCAGATGCAGGTTAAAATCACCATCCTCAAAGCTACCTGGAGGTGGATTAAGGATGGAATAAGGTGGAATAAGGATTAAGAATGCCAACTTGGAAGTCAGACTGGGTGTTTGAATTATGACCCTTTGACCTTTAGTTGTATGACTTTGGGTAAGTTATTTAACCACCTTTGCCTCAGTTTCCCCAAATATAAAATGAAAATAGTGGGCTTCCCTGGTGCCGCAGTGGTTGAGAGTCTGCCTGCCGATGCAGGGGACACAGGTTCATGCCCCAGTCTGGGAAGATCCCACATGCCACGGAGCGGCTGGGCCCGTGAGCCATGGCCGCTGAGCCTGTGCGTCCAGACAGAGCCTGTGCTCCACAACGGGAGGGGCCACAACAGTGAGAGGCCCGCGTACAGCAAAAAAAAAAAAAAAAAAAAAAAAAGAAAGTAGTAATAGTACTTAACTTGTAGAGTTAGTGCGAGGATTACATGAGACAATCCATCTATATTGTGCTTAACACCATGCCCAACACAGAGAAGGACTCAGAAGTGCATTATTTAATGTGCGGTTTCCTGAGCAGGTTATACATTTCAGCTTAGAGTGCAGCTCTGCTTGGTGGCACAGCTAGGTGTCCTGTGGATTCTCCAGGCTAGAACATGGAGGTTCTAGTGGGGGAATTATCCTCCCCTCTAGTAAAATCTAGGTCCTACTCTTGAAACTACTGGTAAATGGAATAATAAACCCAAGACTGTGGAAAGATGGTGACAGGTACTTCCCCTGGAATTTCAATGTTTTCAATTAAATGATAATTCCATAATGAGAAGGTTACAGTTTTGAAAATCCTTCACTGAAAGAGTCAATCCTCTTTTCCCCTAAATTGTGGTTATATTGAATGAATCCAGTATTAGGTATCAAGTACATCTTTACATGGATGGAGAAGAGGATGTTGGGACAATAGTTTCTTGGTAGTCAGCTACCTCTCTGGGGTGATTGCCTGTTTTCACTTTATAGCTTCTCCTGATAACCTTCCATAAGGATGGGCCCCTTTAAGTTAAAGTTGGAAGAGGGTATTTTGAAACTCAGAGAAGAGTTTTCTTAGAAACATCTTAAACAAGCTGGTAAGATCCCCCATCAAACTCACGTGAGATGTTAGTACAACTGAACCTAATGACTGGACATTTCTGGGTCTCTCACCAGCAAGGCATGGGGAAAGGAGAATCTTTTCCTCTCATGGCTCTGGTGGCTTGGGAAACATGGGGAGATACGGGAAGCACAGGGTTTCTCGTCAAGAAATCCCCCAAGAATACTTCTTTTTATGGGCTGCTTCCTTCTCACCTCCTTTTCTTATTTTTCTCTTTTTCTTCCATATGCATCCTGTTTCTTCCAGCCAGGGATTCTTTCCTCCTCTGGGTAGTACAATTACTTGGGTAGGAAGTTTAGAGTAGTGACAAGAAGATATGTTCCCCTACCCCTGTCCCCAACTCTGAGTGTGAAACCAGAAAAATAAATAAATGATCAGTGTGGCCAGCTCCATGTAGAAGTTGATTTAAAAGACCCAGCCCCCGAATAGGAACGTAGTCTATTTCGTGTCATCAAAGAAACAAGACGTCAGCTGAAGGTGAGTGGTCTTTTCTACTAGGAAATTAATAAAGAGGAAGGCATTGGTTAAGAACACAGGCTCTAATATCAGATAGGCCTGGACTTGAATCTGGGCCCTACCACTTACTAATTATAAGACTGGAGCAAGTAACTTAATTTCTCTTAGCCGTAGTTTTTTTCAGTCAAGATGGGGTAATATCATTCATCCCACAGGGATAAATGTGGTTGTGGATATAAGCAGCTCAGCACGGTGCAACGTAATTCATAGTCAAGTCCAAGCAGACAGTGGCCATTTATTATAAAATGTTGAATCAGAGAGTCAGAATTTCTCAGTGCCCCTAAAGCACTCACTTCACAAGGATGTATTCATATCCCTTTGGCAGAAGTAGCTTCACAGATGGATGCATCAGACTATAAATGTGTGATGCTGCTCACCATGAAGATCATCCAACTAATTACCCTTAGTCAGTTTCCCTGTTCACTAAGCAGGCTTCTAACTGGGCTTTCTGTGTAGCTTTGTAATAAGGATACAATATGCTCATCAGATCAGACTGACTTGAACATTCAGGTCTGTTCGGCCATTATAGCTCTCCTTAGAATAAATAAAGTGGTGTTCCAGTTTGTACATCAGCCTCTTGTGAGTCCAGCTGCACCCAAGAGATTGATCAACTCTGACAAAATCAATCTCTAATCCTACAAAGTCGAGCATTATACCCTGAACTGCACCGAAGTAATAGCACTTCAGGGGGGCTCTGAGATGCAAATTGCTGACCTGCAAGACAGGTATAGCCTGGAGACTACTTTCTTTGACCACATAGGGTTTTTATTTATTTATTATAACTTTATTTTATTTATTTATTTTTGGCTGCGTTGGGTTTTCGTTGCTGCTCGCAGGCTTTCTCTAGTTGCTGCGAGCGGGGGGCTACTCTTCATTGCGGTGCGCGGGCTTCTCATTGTGGTGGCTTCACTTGTTGTGGAGCACAGGCTCTAGGCACGTGGCTTCAGTAGTTGTGGCACATGGGCTCAGTAGTTGTGGCTCTTGGGCTCTAGAGAGCAGGCTCAGTAGTTGTGGCACACGGGCTTAGTTGCTCTGCGGCATGTGGGATCTTCCTGGACCAGGGATTGAACCCGTGTCCCCTGCATTGGCAGGTGGATTCTTTTTTTTTTTTTTTTTTTTTGCGGTACGCGGCCCTCTCACCGTTGTGGCCTCTCCTGCTGCGGAGCACAGGCTCTGGACGCGCAGGCCCAGCGGCCATGGCTCACGGGCCCAGCCGCTCCGCGGCATGCAGGATCCCCCTGGACCAGGGCACGAACCCACGTCCCCTGCATCGGCAGTTGGACTCCCAACCACTGCGCCACTAGGGAAGCCCAGCAGGTGGATTCTTAACCACTGCTCCACCAGGGAAGTCCCAGCATAGGGTTTTTTAAATCATCTGAGCGAATATTTAAAAATCGGGAGATTTCACCAAAAATGTGAATACGAGTTTCCAGCTTCTTATGAAAACCCAGCCAAAAGATTAGAGCTGAGGCATCTGTTTCCTGTAGGGAGGTCCTGTCTCCTCAGTTCAGAGTCCCAGCTCTTACACCTGGTCATTTCAGTCAGTTATCACCTGCCTGGCCTAAGAGGACTTACTTTTGTGATTCCTGTTCTAAATAAGAACACTTTGGAGAGTTTCTTAGGGTTTTTACTCCTTCCAAAAGAGGGGGAAAGTCAGGAAGGAAAAAGCCTATCGAACACCATTTAGTATAAACAGATGATAAATTTGGAAACACACCCATATTTCAGGAAACACTTGGATTAAGATAGTCTCCTGGGCACTTGTTTGCACGAGTAGATGGGACCATAGGGAGTTGGTGAGAGGCTGGGATTGGGGGAGGGGTGCTGAGGCTGATAATTGACAGAGAGGAAGTGGGTGGTATGGGGGCAGGAGGGGAAGAGAAGGGCAGCAAATGTTTGCAAGGAATCGACCACTCCTATTCTTTTTTCTTTTTTTTTTTTTTTTGCGGTACGCGGGCCTCTCACTGCTGTGGCCTCTCCCGTTGCGGAGCACAGGCTCTGGACGCGCAGGCTCAGCGGCCATGGCTCATGGGCCCAGACGCTCAGCGGCACGTGGGATCCCGGACAGGGGCACGAACCCGCGTCCCCTGCATCGGCAGGCGAACTCTCAACCACTGCGCCACCAGGGAAGCCCCACTCCTATTCTTTATCCTTCTCTCTCCACAACTCTTGTCCCAAACAAAATCTGCTTTTGACCAACGTTGGAGGAAAAGGTAAAACAGGGTGGGGATTAGGGATGGAGTAACCGGTAGAAACCTAGGCAGCAGTGGGGTATTCAGCATTAGGACAGAAAGAGAGCTTAAGAGGAAATAGCCATCCAGCTAGACTGGCCAGCTCTGAGTGGCCATTCATATGAAAGGGACAGCGAGTTGTATGTATAGGGTGAGGTGCTGCCTATAGAACTCTAATCAGGCAGTTTCATGAACTTCTAACAAGTTCAGCAGATAGCGCTATTCAAGAAATCTTTGTACCCAAAGGGAGAGGAAATAAAGTTTAATAACCAATGCGGAGGGGCTTCCCTGGTGGCACAGTGGTTAAGAATCCACCTGCTAATGCAGGGGACACGGGTTCGAGCCCTGGTCTGGGAAGATCCCACATGTCTTGGAGCAGCTAAGCCCGTGTGCCACAACTACTGAGCCTGTGCTCTACAGCCCGTGCTCCGCAACAAGAGAAGCCACCGCAATGAGAAGCCCGTGCACCGCAACGACGAGTAGCCCCTGCTCTCCACAACTAGAGAAAGCCCGTGCACAGCAACAAAGACCCAACACACCCAAAAGTAAATAAATAATACGTAAAAAAAGAAATAACCAATGAGGACATCAAGAGAGAGAGGTTGTTCAGGAGAATTCTCAAGCTGCCCTTCAGTTAAAGCATCTGGAGAAGTGATGTAATCTCAGAAACTGTCTGCCTTAAGCCCTTCTCTTTATGATCTAGACTGAGGTCACACAGTTAGATTTCAGTGGCCCATTCAAGGGCACCCATCAATTGGCTCTACACATCGCACCACATCTTTTTGTTTCTTCCTTTATAAAAAATTCAACATGATTAGGCAAAGCTCTAACCATCCTCCATTACTTTCGTTATTCTCCATCTCTGCCTTTGCTTCTGTTGCTTCCAGTGCTTAAAATACATGCCACCTCTGCTTTCAGCCATGTCCATCAGTTCCACTAAGGCCTATCTTAAAGCTTGCCTCCATCCATCAGTTATAATGACCACTACTTTGCCTGCCCTGAGAGACTGGCGGTCCCATAAGGCAGCAAAGGAGGCACTTTAATCTGGGAGTCACACCATTGGGGCTGTGGCTGTGATGATGACTCTGAATAAGCCAATTTGTCTTCTCAGCATACAGACGAGGAATCTCAGTCTTTAGAGGCTAAGTGATGTACCTGTGATAACTTGACTTATAGCAGCAGAGGCAGGATTAGCACCCAAGTCCTCTGACTCTTCTCTCAGTCTATGGTTCTTTCCACTAACTGTGTGCACAGTTGCTTTCAGACCTCTTAGTTACCAACCATAAACAGATGTATTCAGACTATCATTGAAGATAGAGATGGAAATTACAAGGCTATATAAATGGAGCATTTTGGTGGCATATCATCCCAACTTTACAGTCTTTACAGATCTCCTCCAAATAAATATCTCCTGGGCTCTCATTACACATTCTGATTCAGAAGCTGTGCTTTTAAGGAAAGTATAGGGTGGATCACTCTAGACTGTGGGTACTTACTTCTATTCTACCAAAGAAGTTTTAAAAGGCTAGGAACGTATATTTGAATTCAAGTACAGGTTAAGGTACAATGGGTTAGAATATTGGAGAACACAGCAATAGTATTTATTCATCTCAAGTACCTCTCAGTAGATAATTAAACTGGGCCATGATAAAAACAATTCTATTAGGCCCGTTTCTCTTGTGGCTAATGCTGTTGTGCTACTTGCTGTAGTATTTTTCCTTCGCTTCATTTTATCCAGAGCACTTACTGTAATATTGCAAGCATTACCACTTTCCTCCTTGCAATAAAAAAAAGCAACAGTAGACAAAAACATGAAGTTTTATGTCTTCACTCATGAAGATACAACCCATGAAAATATGAATGGCAATCTAGGTATAGCCACTTTTTTTGGTGGGTTTCCTGCACCATCAACTAAGAAGTGGCTCTTTCAACCATAAAGAATACAGTTTTTAGGATTCTTCTCTGTTCTGATGCACACTTTGCCCTACGCTTGGTGTGTGTGTAAGAAAAGATCTATCGCAGAGAGTTCTAACTTTTGCCGGGGGGGGGGGGCGTGTCATGAACCTCTTTGGCAGTCTGGTGAAGGCTATGGATCCTTTCTGAGAATAATGTTATTATAAATGCATAAAATAATATACACTGGAAACCAATTATACTGAAATACATTTCTATCCATGGACCCCTTGTGTCTTAAGCCTATCATAGCACTGACTCAGGCTCCTCCATCTACCTAATTTTTAGTTTTTCAAAGTGAAATCATAAGGTTAGAAACACAGCCTCTTAGTACGGAGTCAAACAGATATCAAAACTCAAGTCCAGGGCTTCCCTGGTGGCGCAGTGGTTGAGAGTCCGCCTGCCGATGCAGGGGACACGGGTTCATGCCCCGGTCTGGGAAGATCCCACATGCCGCGGAGCGGCTGGGCCCGTGAGCCATGGCCACTGAGTCTGCACGTCCGGATCCTGTGCTCTGCAACGGGAGAGGCCACAACAGTGAGGGAGGCCCACGTACTGCAAAAAACAAACAAACAAACAATAGCAACAAAAAAGACTCAAGTCCAAAGCCCAAGTCACAAAGTGCAAAGACATTGGATCACATCAGGGAGCAGGGCTAGCTAGTTAGCAGGTGGCTGCTGACCTGGGATGAGTCCAGGGCAATGCAAAGGCTCTCTTCCTGCATCCCCCAAATCCCTCTTCTCCCTGTTCACTCATGCTTGAAATCCCTTAATAGAGTCTAACTCCTTTGGTTTAATTAAATAGAGGATTTACTCTTGATAAAAAGCAAAAACCCATGGGAGAGGTAAATTCTCTATGCCAAAGATTTTCAAATTTATTTTTAGCAGTAGAATCTATTTTTCAGATGCATTCTTTTTTTTTTTTTTTTTTTTTTTTTTTTTTGTGGTACGTGGGCCTCTCACTGCTGTGGCCTCTCCTGTTGTGGAGCACAGGCTCCGGAAGCGCAGGCTCAGCGGCCATGGCTCACGGGCCCAGCCGCTCCGTGGCATGTGGGATCTTCCCGGACCGGGGCACGAACCCGTGTCCCCTGCATCGGCAGGCGGACTCTCAACCACTGCGCCACCAGGGAAGCCCCAGATGCATTCTTAAATAGAATGCTGATATGTAAATAAATGCAAGTTTTATACAAATTTAGTATAATGTTATATGTTGTATTATATAAAAATAAGAATTCATATATATTTATATGTATTCATATATAAATCAACATTGGAAACAGGCTATTTTGATAAAGGCAAATTATGACATCAAGAGCTATAGATAATAGCTGCAATCTTACATCCATCAGAGCATACACCTTATTTCTGTATTATATTTTACCTGCACAAGATGGAGAAAATCCTGACCTAAATAGATAAGTAATTTGTAGCTAACAGTTTGTTCTGGCACTTACAATCTCAGGATTTTCTTCAATTAAAATGATCCAGAAGTTTGAAGACTAGTAGGAATTTTTGTTTCAGAGTAGAATCACTAATAATATTTATCAACTGTTCATATTACTTAGTAATTAAGGATTAGTACTTAATTTGGGGAAATTTGACAAGATTAGTAAACCATTTGAATCCTGAATTCCTTACTTACTTCATAACCTTAGGCAAGTAGCTTAATCTTAGTCTCAGTTTCCTCATGTGTAAAATTATTATGAAAAGAGCATGTATTTTATAGGTGTAAAGGTTAAGTAAGATAGTGTACGTAAAGCACTTAACACAGTGTCTGGCGTACTTAATGAGGGCTATTATTACTGAAGAGTTGAATGACCAAAAGTACTTTTCAAATCTCCTGTGTACCATTTTAAGATGTTCATCATGTCCCATTTAAATTTATTTTCAAATATCCCAGCACCCTTCTTTTTCAGATATTCACTCAGTTTCAAAACAGTCTAAATTTGTTTTGCACAATGAATCCAAAATTTTAAGATGACGTTTCATTGCTGACCTTTTATCTGCAGATGTAAACCTAGTAACGTTGCAACCCTGCAATGCCAAGTGAAGATCGTATAGCACATTTTGAATCAGATAAGACCCAACCCCAAATTAAAATGAGCGGTGAAACAATTTATAATGCTATATATTATCATGATGCAACATGCATTATTATAATTGTACAGTTGACTATTATGCCGTGCCAAACGTGTACCAGAGAGCTTGTCTGGCTTTTAATGGCTGGGAGCACACAGGTGGTGTATGTAATACTAATACCAGCTAATGTTAATGACATGCTTACCCGGGGCTAGGCACTGCTTTAAGACCTTGACATGTATTAGCTCATTTAATCTTCACTTATTTGTCCTGTGTGATTATTATAGGAGTGTATATGAGCAGATGTGCATTTCAAAATATGACTAGTACACAGATAAACCCTATTACAAAACGCCCTTATAAGAAATTCAAATGCGCACATGCGCACACACACACACACACACACACACATACATGTGTGTGCGTCCATGTGCTCGTGGAGTTAACCAAATAGCACAAATTAATGCATTGATGGTATCTAATGCATTAAAATTTGGTATCAAACTTAGGTATGTATGTATTGTACTTTATTACACTTCAAATTGCTTAAATATTTATCATAAAAATGAAATATGAATTAAATGCTTGCAGGCTCCCTGAAGCTTATTGGAGCTCTCCATAACAATTTGAAAACCAAAGCATTAAACCTTATTACTCATTTACACTGGAGTGTGAAAGGAGCCAAATCAGATCCTCTTCTGCACACAAAGGTGTAAAAAAGGGAGAAGTATGAGATTTTTAATATTCATTAATTTTTCAGAAAGACAGGAACATTATTAGGCACCTATTATGTTCCAGCAATGTCAATATATTATCTATAATCCCCATAACACCCTTGCCTAGTAGACACCATTATTCTGATGTTACAGAAGAGGAAACGGAGGACCTGAGATGTTAATTTGCTTACCTCGGGGTACACAACTGGAGAAATGGCAGGTAGGACCCAAACTCTGATCCATTCAATTCCAAGCCCTTCCTACCACCCCAGACTGCCTCCCATCTAGCCTCCCCATTTTATAAACCAGGAAAATGAGAACGAGCGAGCTAGAGTAACTGGCCCCTAGGAACAGCTAGTTGGTGGCCAGGCTGTTACAAGAATCCAGGAGCAAGGATGTTTCCCTAGGTAAACTCCATCAGATGGCCCAGTGGGAGGGTGCCCTGTGCCTGCTGGGAGCCAGCAAAACCACTACTTCACTTCTAGACTTGGCATCAGGTAACATAGCTTCAGTGCAGGGACTGGATGGATGAGACCAATTAGTCCTCTTCTATTATGTGCAAAACACTGCTTGGTGCAGTGGAGGATGTGCAAAACAGACAAACGGTCCAGACAACAAGGTCCCTGTCCTCATATCAGTATGGGAAAGAGGGCATCATCACGTGAAATATTAAATAGAATCCCTGGAAGGGACCTCAGTAATACTTTGGTTTTCCCCCTCGACCCCAACAATAATGTAAGTTTTAAATGACTGTATAAAACATGGCATAATACAATATGTGAAGATTGCCAGTAGTCATAACTAATATTTTCAGACCACTTATTTGTACCAGGACCTTTGCTAAGTGCTTTGAAGTATCTCATTTAAATCTCAATATAATCCTATGAGATACTCTTATTATGGACATTGTACACATGAGGAAATGGAGGCCATTTTGGGGAGGTTCCCTTTCTAGTTAGAGTCCACACCAGGCAGTCTGACCCAGAATCATGATGCTCTCAGCTAAAAAGTGGTTGGAGTTTGGCATGGAGTTGGTTTGGGAACGCATACAGGATCTCAGCACAGAAACTCGAGAAGTACAGCATTCTGAAGAAGTTAGAGAATGTTTGTGATGAAGGTATGGCCTCTAATTGCCTCTCCCCACTCCCACATGGGCTTTTGTGAGAGAACCGGACATGAGCCAATGACATTTGCCATATCATTTTCTTCAGCTTTCCCAGCACTCCAAACCAAAGCAGAACTAAAATTCTCAATAGTGACAACGTCCAAAGGCAGTACACCACTTCTCCTGCCACCACATTGGTGGAGTAGGCTATAGTCAAGAAGAATATGAAAAGTCATTGTCTTCTTGAAAACTCTTTCAAGACAACCTGAGGAGAAAGCTGCCTTTAATGACAGAAACAGGGATGTGGTACATGCCATCACAGTCCTTGGGTAATGACTACGTGTCATAAATAAGATATGGCATTTCTGAATGACTTTAAACTATTTCCTTTTGTTCAACTAATTTAATTTACCAAATGCTCCTGGGGAAAGGGAGGGGGACCAAGATGCTGACTCTGCATTTCCTGGAAAATCAACATTTTCTTTTTAAACTGTCCTCAGAGAAATTCTGTCTGATTGTTGTCTGCTGGCTCCCTCAAACCCTACCTCTGTCAAAATTCTGCCCTGGCGGGTGTGAGAAAAAATAGATGCAGAACTTGAGTGAATACCCATATCTGTTTTTTTTGTTGTTTTTTTTTTTTAACATCTTTATTGGAGTATAATTGCTTTACAGTGGTGTGTTAGTTTCTGCTTTATAACAAAGTGAATCAGTTATACATATACATATACATCTGTTTTCGGAAAAAAGCAACAGAAGCAGCACAGAAGGAAGTAAAAGAGATAATTGCTGGCTTGAACTGCAATACATTTTACTTGTGGGCAGAGGGCCAGCTTACAGCAGGCGGAATATGCAGGCCCATCTTATTGGAATTCAGGGGTGGGCCTCCATTCTTGTCCAGAGACAGCTGTAAACCAGCAGCCCATAGCATCACAATCAGGCACCGGGTTTTGTCAAGGAATGCTGATATGTACAGAAGCAGCTTTGTCTGCTTCAGCTGCACCCCTGCCTAGTGAAATGACAGTCTCTGATTCCAGATGACAAGAACTGGATAAAAACTTAAAACAAATGGCGACCTTTCAAAAGATTAATTTGTTTACCAACAAAATGTTCCCTCTTTGTCATCCAAGATGGGGGTGACCTTCACTTTCCCATATCTAGGCTGAAAGGATGCTGACTAAGTCATCTGTTAACTCCATCTCAGCAATTATTCCCTTTTTTATTTTTAGTGACAAGAAGCGTTTATTAATTCACTCTGCTTCTTGTTATGGTTTATAAATGCAACAAGCTCGTTCTGAATTACTGCAGTGTAACATCAATTTGTTTAAATCTAATTCTGCTACTGTTGCCAAATTATGTTGTGACTGTAATTGTGGCCATATGCATGGGCTTAAAACACAATCATGTTGTGAAATCCTCCTTCTTTCTCCCCCCTTGCTACTTACCCCCACCTCTTACTTCTGGTGCTTCTTCTCAGCATTTGACACTAACACAATTGCCTCACTTTCCATTACTTTATCACTTCAGAAATGAATGTGCTTTCAGTGAGAGAGATTACTATGTACACCCCAAGTGAAACAGTAAAGACTGAAACTATGATTTGTGAAGTATGGTTGCTACCCAACTAAGTTAGTGAAAAACGTTGCATAACGTATGACTCATAAAATCTAGAAATCATAAAAGTATTAAATTCAACCTCATGAATAAATAAAAGATTCTAAGTTTACATTGCATTATATATTTATTTATTTGGAAAGTGGGACCAAAGAACTGGTATAATTCTACAGCAACTCATATGTTGCTAAAAAGAAAAATGTTCTTATGATTCTTTTCTAGGTCATAACAGTTATAATCAGAGTTATTTGTGCAGCAATTCAGAGCAATGTTTTGTTTGGCTTTTTTATTATGCATTCATAATCGTTCTTTTAAAATTCATGGTAACAGATACATGTTTCAAGCCTTTTAAGAAACCCTTCTTATTTAAAAATAATAAATCAAAGTCAAATTTTCTGTAGCTCTTTTAACGTGTTGCATTAGAAAGTCTAACTGGAACTAAATGTCAGTGAGTAAGTATGAATGTATCAGAGATTTCTTCTTGTCTATCCAAACCTATAAGGCTCTACTCAAGAACATGTTAGAGGGTTTTTGTTTTTGTTTCTAATTTGGCAGATTTAAGATATTGAAAAAATCAGTGGCTTTCACTTTTAATACTTTTTTTTGTAAATTGCTTTTACACAACAGAGTTACAGGATATACAATTCTGAAGGCAGTTTTGTGGTGTGTGTGTGTGTGTGTGTGTGTGTGTGTGTGTGTAGTATCTGTGTTTTCAATGCACTAAAATCTTTGCATAAGCCCATATTGTCAGAAAGGATACACCTATTCATAAAATGGAGAAAATACCAGTTTCTGAGAACTAGTAATGTAAATTAGCAACAAATTCAAATTTTCTCTGTCAAAAATGTCTAAGGTTATTTACAGGCTTTAGACAAGCTGTTCAAGTTTCATAAGAAGTAAGGAAACACATGGCCCTCAGCAGCTAAATAATAATCCCCTTTGAGTGTTTAGAGTAGTTATAAAAAGCAATTAGCCCTGATGCTGCTTTTCTAATTAACTATACATCACAACACTAGACACATTGCTTCAGTTTGGGCAAGTGCTTTCAAAAACATTTTTATAAGTGGTAAATCACAACTGTATTTATTCCCAAATATTCCACATGATTGTTTAAAGCCAAACACTGGAATATTTCTTTCACAGGATTTTTTGCACAATGCTTGTTTTACAAATCTAAAATGAAAACATGTTTTTCACTTAGTACCATCATATATACATATATCAACATAAAATGATAGGGTCAACTATCTTGATTGAAATGCCAGTAGTTTGGGCAAGATGTACATACTGTACATACATTTTAAAGTGCTCTGGTAGAGATTTTTATGGAGTCAAGTTTCATGGGGAAAAACAGATCTTAAATACAATAAATGAGTATACATTATCTATGTCATACAAGGCCAAGTGCTTTCCCAAATCCTCTGTGTTCAAAGGACAGGGGTACAATATCCAAGGAATTCATCCTATTTGGGAATTTTAAGATTCTGCTCCAAATTTCAGATATAATTTTGAATTCCCTATTTATGTCAGAATCTTTACTCAGATTCATTAAAGCAAAGCTTAATCCTCCTAAATCTAGAGGTATGCCTTTTTAAACTTCAATACTCATCAGAAAAAGTTTGCATGAAATGCTGCAGTTGCCTTGGGCTACAAAGCCTCAGCGCTCCACCAGCTAAGCCAATATTAATTCTAGATTGAAGGGGAAAACCACCAACAACAAAAGAGAAATCTGCTTCTGTCTGTACGGCCAGAGAAATAATATTTTTATTTCAAGGGCTTTGGGCTCACGGGAAGCAGATAAAAACCTTTTCACATTATTCACAGTGACATTTTAAATAAAGTTTCAGCAGGAATAAAGATATCTAACTTTCGGGTTATTTCTTAGGCTATAAAGTGCTCTTAAACCAACCCTGTTAAAATAACATAAAGCACATATAAAGAAACTAAAAATATATTTCAGGGTTACATGAATGAAGTAGGCAGTTGAAAATGTCTACATAGGAAATTTGGAAGATTAATCTAACAGGCTGTTATGCTGGTTAGAAATGGTTTTGCAATTTAATTCTAAAATTAATCTTGTTTTTAGTTTTGATTTCACTGAAGGATACATTTAAGAGCTTTTGAGAGAAGCCAAAGGTTAAAAAATGTATCTAAAAATGTATAAATATCACTTTAGTAATTGTTTTCAATATTAGAAATCATCTCAAAATAATTTTCCAAATAAAATGAAGCACTACTCTTGCTTCTCCTAAGAAAACCCTGCAACACAGAAAGAGTACAATCCTTGCTTTGGGACACTCAGCAGCAAGTCAATGGCAAAAATAGGCACAGACTCTGAGATCCCTTAATGTCAGTCTCCGTGTCATTATTGTTCCTTCTCATCATTTTGCTGACATAAAGGATTAATCCCTACTTTCTTCAGATTTAGAATAATGTTCTCAAAATTTTGCATATTGTATGAGTATACATCATTGAAGCTCATGCTTTGCTGTTGTTTTCTTTTGCTTTTTCTAGAAGCCTGTACAAGAAATAAAATATTTAACATCTCTGTATTCTTTTTGTTGTTAAATTACTTTCTCTTGTTAAAATTATGGTACTAGCTTATTTAGGGGTATCAGATAAAACAGAAAAATTTGAATGAGCTATAAATAGATCTCTTAAAAAGAGGTTTACATTTTCTTCATCATTTCTAATTACAAACAGAATGAAAGCCACTCTCATCTCCAAAAAATTCTAAGGACAATAGGATCCAAATTTTCACTTAAAATCCACATTGTATCTTACACGACTAATAAATGACTTTCAACTCTAAAAAAGAAAAAGAGCTCATTAAAACAACTCATTACTTACACATGCTTTTCTCTGATTAATACATGGCAAACTGATTCCATAGGTCGCATTTACAGCAGCTCTGTGGTGGATGTTTTCAGGATCCTGCATGATTTTTATATTCAACCCTGTCTTTCGCTGAAACAAAGAAACAATGAAACTTTCATGCCAGAAGAACAAAACTGCCTACTAACATTTTATATCCTCAAAGGAGTCTAAAGTTCTTTGAGAATAATTATTTTAATGTAATTCTCACTGGAAAAAAAAAGTATATCTTTGGGTCTTTTATTTAGGTGACTAATTAGTCTTTTATTCACAGAAAAGGAATTTTCTGCAGATTTTCCTCTGTGTATCCTGTTACTCATAAAAATCCATCTGCAGACGCCATTCATTTTCTCAAAAATACTGCTAGAAGCCAACCAAGGTGGACAAAGGATAGAATACCTGGTCTCGATTTATTTTTAGCTTTCCAGGTCAAGAATTTTGCCAATGAAGTCTATACTACGACTATGCAGGTAGAGGGCTCCCTTGGTCTGTTAAAGCGTCCCCTTTCCTTGAGGGACATTTACAGGTAAATCTCAGTTTGGACTTGGTAAATTTACCACAACAAACTTATCCACTCCTTCACAGAGCTTTTGCTATCTATAGGAAAAATATATGCTCTCATTAGAAAAAAGAAACACACATCTCATTTGAACCACGTGTTCCTCATTTAAAATAATTCAAATGAGTTACTGCTGAGATGCTTAAATATGAACCACCAGGATAGGCAGCACAGTGGTAGCGGGGAAGGAGCACTGGATAGGTGACCAGAGACCTAGGCTCCAATCTTGCTCTACCCTGGACTGCCTGCGTGTGACCTTGGGTAAGTTACTTTCCCTCTTCGGAAGCCAGTTTCTTTATTTGCAAAGTGCGACATTAGACTTGACAGTCTGTCTGTTGAAGGACTATCAACCCCCCAATCTCCTCCTCCCATGTTTTGCTTTCTATTATTTGATGCTAAAAGGTAAATTGACACTTAAGGAATATGGTAGTACCAACAGTTTCTGAAGTCTTTTGTGACTTTTAAATTTAGTGGGTTTTAGCATATTCATAATGTTATACAACCATCACCCCTACCTCAAATGCAGAACGTTTTCATTACCAAAAAAGAAAACTCATACCCATTAACAATCAGTGCTCATCTCCTCCTCTATCCAGAGCCTGGCAACTGCTAATCGACTTTCTTTCTCTTGGATGTGCCCATTCTGGATATTTCTTATAAGTGCAATCATACAATATGTGGTCTTTGTGACTTTTTAAAAAGGAGGTGTGAGCAATTAAAAACACTGATTTCCTTTCAATGGCGTGTCTTAGTTCTGAGGGCGATCTGATGCAATTGTTAAAACGGTTATAGGAACCAGCCAGATGAGCTCATGCTGTAGTAATTTCTTTGATCTTAAGCATTCATACATGGCCTGTGCCTGAGGTCAAAGTGAAGGGGAAGACTACAAAAACACCTATGGAATGCATGCCGTCTAGATAAGTTATTTCTTAACACAGTCTCCAAACCTTTTTTTTTTTTTTTTTCCTGCGGTACGCGGGCCTCTCACTGTTGTGGCCTCTCCCGTTGCGGAGCACAGGCTCCGGACGCGCAGGCTCAGCGGCCATGGCTCGCGGGCCCAGCCGCTCTGCGGCATGTGGGATCTTCCCGGACCAGGGCAGGAACCCGTGTCCCCTGCATCGGCAGGCAGATTCTCAACCACTGCACCACCAGGGAAGCCCCAAACCTTCTTTTTATTTTTTTAATAGTTTTTAGACCAAATCTCCAAATAACTGCACTCAGTTGTGCACATGATTTAACCCATGCAGGGACACAGGTTACAAATAAGGCATAGCTCTTCCCTCTCCTTAAAGTCTGTGTGGTGACAAAAATAATATAGTGCCTAATTATAAATGGCTTTCCTTCTGTGGGTAACCCACACTTACAGCACTACTCCAAGGTTTTTGCATGGAAGCTGAGTGCCTCTTTTATTGAAATTAATACCTGAACATAATTTTTTCCTTCTTAATTAAACTTTCAGAATAATTTCCATTCTACCAAGGACTGGGAAATTGCTAATATTATTATATTGGCTGGATGTGGTTTCTGTAATTCGGGTGTTTTTAAATGTGTATTCTGTATACAGCTGATGGCAATAACTTCATCTATCATGTCTAAGCTTTGTTAGAACTTTTAAATTCTGGGATCATTGGCTCAGTGGACCATAGCCATTTTCTTAGTTTTCTTATGCTCCATCAACTTTATGGGGCTTTGGGACTGGTATAGAAAGGAAATGATCAAATACAGAATCATTGTTAAAACTGGCATTAAAAACTAGTTGTTTCCTTCCATTTTTACATTTCTGTGGCACTGAACACAGATATTTCTGGAAAGAAATCAAAATGTAAATAGAAATCCAACAGAAATGATAGGTTGTAATAGCAATTCTTTATTAGCTTCTAAAGCAATGGAAAAATCCTTTAAAATTATTAATATTCTAATATTTTCTCTTTTGACTCCAAAGCATGTGTATGCCAAAATAATATGTAGCACATATGATTTAATTCCCCTTTTAAAAAATATTAAGAGTTTACATTTAAATAATATAAAAATGTCAAATGGTCTCACTGAAAATCACTGTCATATACATTCATAACCTAAATTTATCTTACAAACCATCTATAGAGATGTATAGGGAAATATTTATGAGCATAAGCTACATTGTCAGACCCAGTAATAAGATTTTTCAAGAAAAATAATTATAGATTTAAAAACAAAAACAAAATTAATCATTCCATTAAGCATAAAAGCAATGCTCTGGAAGA